CTCAAAACTTGATTTGTTCAAGTTCCAAATTTAAAGAAAACTGCTCTTTTGTGTACTTTTATCTGTGGAAATTTTTTGCCCATGGTAGACAAACAAGTGTATTAGTTTTTTGTTTCAAAAGTATGAATTGAGCAGGGAATGCACTGTTGTTCTTTCACTGGAAAGAGACATAGAGGCTATTGCCATAGGAATCATAAGCTTTGGCTATCCATCAAGTTGGACAGGGCTCCATGTTGAGAATTTTCGTCACCCACGAGCAAATTGTAGAAGCCTCTGGTGACCAGGCAACCATTAGGCAGCAACCATAAAAGAAAGGGAAAAAATAAACAACACTAAATGCTATCAGAATCATGCCCATTAAAGTCAAACCATCGATATAATGAACATCTACATAACAGAGTCCTTGGGATAACAAACAATTCGCTTCAGTAATAGTAAAATATAACGAAAGAATCTTGATATAATGTAACCCCATTTTGTTGGTGATCGCCAGCAGGCGGCTACTTTTGACCACCCTGATTGACCCTTTGTTAAAACAAGGTTCCACTAAAAATAGGTCAATAAGATAACAAGTCAAGGGTTAAGCAAACTTACGATTTAGGCTTTGTCGCCAGCGTCTACCTGGATCTCTGGAGTCACCAGTACGTTGTCGCCCTTTTAAAAGATTACAGAATTCAACAGCAAGTTATTTATGTTATTTTATTTTTTTGTGAAGAGGAAGATTTTCCATTGATTTTTGTGGTTCACAACTGAATCAACTAAGTTAAAGCTTAACCTTTGAGATACATTACAATAATTATATTACTCATGACATATATGTACTAAACATAATCACACAAGTGGTTGCTTCATTTAAAGCATGTTTGGCTTTAAGTAACAACCTAGTACAGATTAGGCCCTTCCCGCTCTTTCTCTTGATACACACAGACACAGAAGTAAAAAAAAATTATGGAAATTATATTTTAATCAAAGAAATGATTAAAAACCAAGTGATCTCATTATTTATTATGTTTTGATAACAACTTATGGTCAGAAACACACTGTAACATGGCATAATTTCTACCAAAATTTTGATGTAACTTGAGTGGATGGTTGGCTAGATAAATCACCACGGCTAGCTCCATTCTATAAAATTTAAGGAATGAACAATGTAATCTGGTCACATATATTACATTACTGCTACATAAAGAAAGGAAACAATATTCACAAAAACAAACAACCTTGGCCGCGAATTGAATTCAAATCTCTTGCTGAGCACGTTTTAGACTGTGAACCACAGGGTGTCAAATTATTGCCCCCGGCACCATGGACTATTTCAAAACCTCTCGTCCTGGTTGGGAGAAAAAATCTAAAGATTAATGATGAAGGAGAGAATGATTGACAAGTGATCAACTTAAAAATACGACAAATAAAAACAGATTCCAGGAAAAAGAAAAGCAAAAAACAACTCTAACCCGCCAAGTTCTGGGAAGAGGGAGAGAAGCCTTTGATATGTTGTCCAAGGTGTTGCTCCACGGGGTATTTCCAGGGTTTTTACCCGGCCATTGGACTCCAGCTCTGAAAGTGTGGAACCACAAGGGACTGATGATTGGCCTGGGTTTAATAATATAACGTTAAAACAATACAGGTTGTTGTTCTCTCTTGACCCCTGCCACGACCACTGCCTCCTCCTCCTCTGCCACTTCCTCTGCTCCCCCCTCTACCTCTGCCTCTCCCTCTACCACGACTTGCGGGCACTAGATTGTCCTGTAGGTTGAAAGACAACCCAGATGTAGATGCAAATGCTGCCCTAACTTGAGCAACCTGCAAAATTAAAAAAAAAATAAACAAGATTCTAATCATTATGATAGTAACAGTGAAATCTGACTTCTCTACAGTAACATTTTACCAAAATAATTAAAATAAAATAATTAACCACACCTTTAAATAAAATAAATGAAAAAGTTTGTCAGTCAAGCTATGGTATTGGCATTAGGTATACGCAAATGTATATATTTTTCTTTCCTAAAGAGAAAAGCCCTGAAGAATGTTTTCTAACTGTAAGGCAGTTATTCTACTAATTGAAGACCCTTCTGCCAAGAATATAGCCACAGCATTTATAAAAATATGCATTCATTCTTACAGATGTTACAGCGTTGTCATTCCTGTTGCTGGAACTACCATTCTGGGAATCATTAGCAGTAGAAGCCTTTAGAGGTTTATAAGAAGAACAACATCAGGGAGACTACATTTCAATATTCAGCAAAGGCTAGTGCATAAAAGCCACTGTGATGAAAAAAAATTCAATTCATACATGTGCATATTATGCTAAAAAGAATGCCATAACTATACAAGTGATTGCATCTTAACTTGCAATCAATCTTCTGGTGTCAGCACATTTTAAATAACATGAGAGTCTCTCCTATAGCCTAGATTCTTAATTTAGAGATGACTACAATCGGCGACCAAATTGTTGAGACATGGTTCTAAAATAATAGGGTAATTGTGGAGAACAAAAGAA